TTATCGCAACTGATGATGGGTTAAGTAATTTAGAAAACTCAATAGACTTTTTCATATGTATTGATATAAAATTATAATTTATGGGGAGGCCACTACAGAAAAGTCTCACTGTCTCAGCAAGGCAAATTAACATAATATGCAATATAGAAATGTGGCACTTGGTATCATAATTTATAAGTAATGATTATATATACATAAATTACTTTTAACATTGGTATCAGAATGTGGTCGTAATTTGGTCTGAGAGAATGATTATCATGTAATATTATTTTCAAGGTTTAAACCTCGTGAATATTAAACCATTAAGACTAGAATTCTAAAATATTGTTTTAAAAACGTTGTCGCTGGCAATGTAAATTGTGTGAGTGTAGAATTAAAAAACTAGTATTTTTTTTACCTGAGTTAATATCTGAATACTAATTATGAGTACTTATACAATAAGAAGATTATCTAATCGCTAATGTGTGACTTATCAATATTCAAGTAGAAAAAATGATTGTTATATAAACATTTCATTTTGGTGTATATAGAATATTATAAAACTCATATTTTATGTTTCTACTAGTTTCTAGTCTACAAAAAAGTTTCTAAGATTATATACAGTGGTTTTATAATTGCCACAGAAACCAATAAAAGAAAAAATGATACTCTTAATAAATATCTCAAATATATATGACATGAATACAGAAATTTAAATGTATTTCTGAAAAATCATTCAAGGGGTTGGTATAGAATAGGTTGACGAACATATAGAGATATGAGGGCTCTAATATTATAATATCATAAACACATTTTTAATTTTGGATTTCAATAATAGATAATAACGTATTTTTACTATAATTTTGACGGGGTAAAACTAAAAACAACTGAAAGCTGTATTTATGGTAGTAAAACAGGTCATTCGTTCTCTACAAAAAAATAATTTAAAAACTTGTTATAAACAATCTCTAAGAAAAATTAAAACAATTAAAAATGTCTATAAAATAATTACTAGATTTACGCATAAAATGTAATTATTAGTATTACTATATGAGCTCTATAATGCACAAGACGAACAACTGTAGAATTGATATCTACCTGAGATTGCCTACATAAATCAATATTTATAATATCAATACGGCATACACTAACGATTACTATTTACTACAACTACAGAGTCATAGTTGAAAAGTCAATATGTATATTGTAAATATAAACAATTATGGAACATTAATATATTATTGGTATTGTAAGTTAAACAATATTTCATACTTAAAGAATTGAGTCAACTTTTCAATTGTATAAATACAATTTTTATAAACAAATTATATTTTAAATATAGAGACTCCGTATACCAGATAAGATCATTTAGCATATGTATCATCAGCTCTTATTATTATTTAGTACCTAGACGGTTACTGGTTAGGCATAGGTATAAATATAAAATTCTATTTATTGAATAAATAAAGCATGTCAGATTAGATCGAGATATGAACTGCTAGCAGTTGTATAGAAAATACATTTTATGCACAATTAACTTAGTACTTAGTAGTGCAGTTTTAATCATATAGTAAATATCAAAATACCTAAAATTAACATTAAGATACTTTTAATTTCATAATTTTATTTTAAAATGATAAGTGAATAATATTATTTTGTAAATAGTTATTAATGATTTAAGCACTGGAAATGGGAAAAAATTTAAAAAACTCAAGAATTTCACTCTAATAGTTGTAATTATAGTACTATACATTACATATATAGATTTTAAGTGTATTTCATCTATGAGTTTAGATTAAAGGATGTTTTATAACATATTGATATTAATATTAGCAATATGGTAAGCTGGATTCAGTTTTGACACAAGTATTGCATATACTATGCAATAATTATAATATTGATTATTATATTATATAAAATATATTTTTGAAATTAGTATCCAACTAGTTCAAAATATTACCTCTCTAAAAGTTAATAAAAATATTATGCATACATAGCTAATTTCGATATATTTTTAAATTACTTTAAAAACATCTTATGAGGAATATTGTACTATTTTATCAACCTTAGATATTGAAATATAAATATAATTATTTTATTTTACTTTTTAACTACAAATAATACTTTCTTCTAAATGTTGTTTTAGTTTGAATTCTAACGGCTATAAAAAAAAAATAATAAATATACATTTTTTAAGTTTTTGACTAATGTAGGAGATATATTTTTGACTAGGAACAATTATTCTTATCGAATTGTATAAATCAATAATTGTATATGAATAAAAATAAAAATAAAGTATTTGGATATTAATAATAGGTATAAAAATATACTTGTAGTCTAGATAAAGGTTAGTCTCGAAGGTTATTATTTTTTGAAAAAAAAAACTAAAAACGATTTTATTGAAACCTAATACCAAGTAAAAGTTCGTAAATTTGATTATTATAGATTGTACTGAGAAGTTAGTTCTTTAAACTTCCTGTCACGTCTACAAATGACGTCAGACACAAAAAGAACAAATCTTAGTAAAACAATACATTACGCTACACTGTATAAAACCTACAATATACAATCCTACTATAATATTAATTTGAGAACAAAATTAAATTTATAATTAAAGCTTCAACAAATTATTTGCACAAATATTGCATTATCAGACATAAAATAATATGAAATATAAAAACCATAATCATTGGACATTAAAAGATTTATCATCAAATATAAATTTTTACACCTCTGTATGAAATATATTATTTGCAATTTGTATAAATCGATAAAATTCACATAATGTTAATTTAATAAATTATAAAAATAATACGACTATAATTTAAAATCGAAGAATATTAATTGATATTACGTAATTATATAGTAGAGTAACAATGAATATTAGATATAATACATTTATATGAAAGTATGAGGGAATGAAACTGTCATATCAAATTAATTTTGTATGGAATCAAATAAAGCGTGGTTTACCTAAAACTATTAATTTTTAAACTCAATTAACTTAGGTAAATTAAAATTTATATTCAATATTTTAGTAAATGAACGAATAATATAATATTATAACATTTACCACCAGTCCAATACCTACATATAGGCGTCTATGGGTGTGTCTTCGACTTGTTCCGGGGAGGTCAACATGAACAGT